GCTTCTTAAGCAAGACTGTTCTCTTTGAAGTGAACTGTAGCTTGATGTATGATGCAGCGCCATTGAGACCCGTTACCAGCCAGCACTTTGCAGTTTGTAAGGCTGATGCCACCGTTCTTAAGGTATGCTTTCAAGGTGTCCTCCATGGGTCCTCTTACCATGACAGAGTTGAGAGAAGAGGACTTGCCTCAGTAGATGTATAGCATATTCAACCACAGTGGAGATAAGCAAAGAGCTGTTTTCGAGTCCCCAAGGGAAATGTGGAAAACCAAGTCTTAAACAGTTACGTTTTGAAATCTGTCTCTAGATGCAATGCAGATCTTGTCTGTTCTTGAGTGCGTTTGATTGTAGCAGATGCATCACTTACTGGTGAAAAAAACTGAGAAAAGACTAAACCTCTGGGGGAATACATTTACCTGGATTCTCTGTGTGCTTAGCTTATGGCCTAGCATCATACAGAACTGGCTTGTGAAATGTCAATTCATTGCTATAACAACTCAGCAAAGTAAACTCTTTGCCACTTTGGCCAGCAGAACAGTGCACCAGATTGAATCATGTGCTTTTAAGTCAAGAATCATACTGCCAGTCTTCCCTTATTAGAAGCCAATTTCTATATTAGTGGTAACAGATGCACTTGTAACAAAGTTCTCGGCTCTTAGTTTCACCGTAGGCATGATCCTGTGCAGAATTAACTGCTCTCATCTGTTTAAAAGCACAGCACAGAAGTGATATTAAATGCTAGCTATCTAGAAGGAAGTGAACATTTCCTGGCTTTAGTATAGCTATTGCCCTAACCTTCTGCTAGACCTTTAAAGCCTCTTGTTCTCCCGGGGCAAAGGCAGCAAAGCGGAGAGCCCCAAGCCCACAGCGGGCAGCCCGCATCCATGGTAGCAAATGTGATGTTATCTGAAAACTTATAAATGGAAGCTAGTTTCGTTAAGAAATCTGTGGTATCTTTCAAATAGCTAGCACTCTCATAACATGCAGAAATAAGATTGAGTCAAAGTAGCCAAAAACTCCATCCATGGCGGTTCCAGTGCCAGAAACAATACCAGAAGGCTGAGCATAAGCAGCTGCAACACTGTTAGACACAATCTTCATGAAATATATGGCAGAGCCATAAACTCTTACATAAACTGTAGTATATTGATGTGGAGGGCCTAGTAACTGTTTTACTTCAAGTAAAAGCTCCAAATGTTTAACATGCTGTGGAAGCCTGGAACACCTGAACTTTAACACTTTAACTCCCATCCCCCCGAGGGTGGATTACAAGCCAAAAAGAACGTTCTCCTTGATGAGGACCCTGATTCTGTTCCCATGGCATTTTCCTGTTTTGTCCTCACTTGCAACTGTTTCAGATTTGGGAACTCCCTGTACCTACAGATGAAAGGCACTGCCATAGGCACATGTATGGCCCCTACTCTGCCAATATATTTATGACAGCTTGCTTCCTCTACAGCTGCCCTCTCAAAAGTTGCAGGTGAGATGTATTACTGGATGCCGTAAGCCAACAGATGTCTCCATCTACCTGCCAGAATTGCCCCAGCAGACTTCAGGAGAGCAATAGAAAGCACCTGGCAAATCAGAGTCACCCACTGCATGGCCACATTGCGACTCCAAGTAGACTAAACTCACAGAAAAGTTTCCTCTCGGCGATGCAGCCACTAGATGAAATACCAACAGCCACACACATAAAAATGTGGCACTCATGATTAGAAATGACCCAGGAGGGAGTTGGGATAAATATCAAACTGTTGAACATCTCCCTGCAGGAGATGTTCAACAGTTAACATGCAGCTTCAGGAATACTCTAACACAAATACCACATACAAATAGGGAGGAAACTTCCAGACTGCAAAATACCTACTGGCCTGCCCACATATAGGGGAACCGTGTACCAACAAGGACCTTGCTAAGGCTACAGATTGAACGATAGTGTGTGCCTGTTTCTGGACCCAAATTTGAACCTGGTGACACATGAAAAGAAAAAGACCTAAGGTACACTGATGACATCTTCATTTTGTGGATTTGTGGGAAGGAATCTCGAGAGAAATTCTGCCAGGACTTCAACAACTTTCACCCCTCCATCAAGCTGACCCTGGAATATTCCTCCCAGCAAATCCATTTCTTGGACACCACCGTGAAAGCTTGCTACCACTGACGATTTCAGCTACTTGCATGCTAGCAGCTCTTATCCTAAGCATGTCACTAGGTCTGTTGTCTACAGTCAAGTTCTGCATTACAACCATATTTGCTCTGATCCCGCTGGCCAGGATGCAGTCCTTAAAGATCTGGAGCAGAAGATTCCTAAAATTAAAATACAACCCTAAAACTATAGCCACTCAAATCAGCGGACTCAGACAATCTGCACCAACCTACTATGACACCAACTGCGAGACAAGGACAGCAGAATCCCTTTGATTGTCACTTACAGCCCCCAGCTTGAACACCTCAGACAGATTGATGATCCCAAGCCCCTCCTGGAAAATGATAATCATGGTAACCATTTCAAGGTAGTCATGGGAGCCAAAATTATCCTGGGTTATAGGCAGCCAGCCACTCTTAAATGGCATCTCTCCACAACAGGATACCAAACTCCTATTCTCAGGTCATTGCACTAGTCCTTGCTCTGGACAAAAAGGCAGACAAGCCTGTGACAGGACACTTGAACCCCTCTGGACATTGCATTGCAGACCCCAGAGTGCCTGTTCTTAGACAGCAAAACTGTAATAACATATTTGAATGGGAAATCGTGGACCAAGAAATCATCCACACACTGAATTGCATTAAGTATAGTCTAAACTGAGACAGATTCTTATCTGTTTATCTGGATTAGCTTTTTTTTAAACTCGGTGCCCACCCCCCATGGGTTAACTTTATTTTTCTTGTGCATACTCACCTTCCCTCTCTCTGTGGTGCCCCTCCTTTTCCCTCATCCTTTCCCTACCCCTTGTGTGCTCATCACTGCGTTCTGTTCAGCAGCTCTGCTTCCTGCAGCTCCTTCGCAGCATCTGATTAAGTAAGCCCTTTACTTTTGAAAGCTTGTACTATATTGAGAGGCTTATATTTATGAGGAGAGACTGAGGGAGCTGGGTTTATTTAGTCTGCAGAACAGAAGACTGAGAGGGGATTTGATAGCAGCCTTGAACTACCTGCAGGGGGTTCAAAAGAGGATGGAGCTCTGTTCTCAATGGCGGCAGATGATAGAACAAGGAGCAATGGCCTCAAGTTGCAGCAAGGGAAGTTTTAGATTAGATATTAGGAAAAACTTTCTTACTAGGAGGGTAGTAAAACACTGCAGCAGGTTACCCAGAGAGGTTGTGGGCTATCCATCCTTGGAGGTTTTTAAGGCCCTGCTAGACAAAGCCTTGGCTGGGCTGATTTTGTTGGGGATGGTTCTGCCTTGAGCAGGGGGATGGGCTAGATGACTTCTTGAAGTCCCTTCCATCCCTAGTTTTCTATGATTCTATGATACGTCTCTGATTTAGTTAGTTTATAAAGGTGTAGATCTACCCTGCTTTCTTCCCATGTTCCTGAACAGGGGTTGGCAACCCATGGCCCATAGGCCAGTCCCAGCCCATGAACAGGTCTGATCTGGCCAAAGAGGTCCAGTCTGACACAGGAGTTTGGTCTCTCAGAGCTGTGCCATGTCACCTCCATTTTACAGTGCTCCCCTCTGCTGCTCTGCAGCATCTGAGTTTACCCTTGCTGCAGAGGGGCTGAAAATCCAGCAGCCAGCTGCTCGGAAAGAGCTGAGACTTCCAGGCTTCAACCGCACCTGGGTTATAAACTCCATCCTCTGCTGGTAACAGGCTCTGACCTCTGTTCTTGGAGACCAGTAACATCAATTCTCATAGGTTGTGAGCCTCTGCATTATGGAGTGTTTTTGTAGTTGAGAGCCCCTCAACTTTGAGTTGAAGAATAGAAACATCAAATATGATAATCACATTCTAGATTGTCCAGATTTGGACTGCTGTTTTCTGTTTGGTTTCCCTTTAAGTGGCATGTATAGGGTGACAGGGTTCTTTGGGTAAATCTGATATCTTTTATTAGGTTAGACCAACTAATGATTAGGAATGTGGTAGCATTCTCTCCCTTGCCCAGAGGGAAAAGCTTGAAAGGGCTTCCTCTGCTTTTTTCCTTATCAGATGGACATCTTTCATGTACACTAACTATGAGTTTCCTTTACTGAGTACTTTTCTAAAGTTAAACTGATTACCTGTGTCAGCTGGTCACAGTGTGCACAGGTTTCTTGGAACTTTTTGATGAAAGAGCCAGCAATTACAACCAAAGTCTAAAACTGAGAAAAGAAAATTATTCTGACAGACTTGAAGGCTGTGAAATATCTACTTATTTTCTGGCAGCAAAACTAGCCAGCCTGTTAGACATCTTAATTGGGTTAAGATAGGTTATCGTTTTAAACCAGGAATTTGTGTAATTATTATATAGAATTTAAAAAATACCAGCAGCAGGAATGGAAAGGAGACCTCTGTTTCACTTCTGCCTTTTCTCATACAAATGTTGCTACTGAGAGCATTGAACCAAATAATTTTTTATTTTCAGGTGTCCCAATATATTCTTTTGAAATATAGTACATTATTTAAACTTCAGTCAGGTGCTTATAGTGGGAGTCTGAGACCGCTCCTATTGTACATCATTCTTCAAAGAAGACACAGAAATTAAATGCATGTAACCTTAATTGCTATATAAAACTAACAAAAGAGACAAAATTGAGGTTAAAGTGGGCATACTTTAGCTTGCCGAATCATGTGTGCATCAGTGGCTGTCATATATAAGTAACACACACAAAGAAGAAGTAAGAGGTTTTGGTTCTTATCGCTGCTTTTTAACCAATTTAAAAATAATTTTTAAAATATCCATGGACAGTAACTAACCACTGCCATCTCCCTCCAGTGCCTCTGTGTAAATGGCTCAGTTTATCTCTCATTTTCTGACTTAATAGTAACAAGGATATATTTAATTGCTCTTCTTTCTTGCAGGTAAAGAAGGCCTTCTTTGCCTTAGTGGCAAATGGTGTTCGAGCAGCTCCACTGTGGGAGAGTAAAAAGCAGAGTTTTGTGGGTAAGAATCATTTTTCAGTAGGCAGTTCATGTGCTGTTGAGCGGTTAGGGTGGTGGTGGAGGACCAAACTTTATTATGTTCTGTATCCTGAAGATGCATCTGATAATGTTTAGGGGGTTTTTTTCATTGCCCAGTCTATATGTAGTGTTGCCAGATTACATGACTTCATTGTGAATCTTCCAAAACTTAGCAACAGTTCCTGAAATGGGGTTATTACAAAAATTTCCACTCTATTTAAATTCAGCGTTCTAGACATTGTGGTTGAGGAGGAGCTTGGAAGCAAGAGCTGGGAAGCCAGAAAGCAGTATAATTGCAAAACGTTGTACTGTTATGATTTGATGGATCTGATGTGAGCAGTAGTGTAGGAAGGAAGTTTGGCGCCCAGGGCAAGCCCGCAGCAGCTGCCTGTCCTCACCCTGTGCACAGATCTGGGGGCACACGTCCTCCCATGCTTGCCTGAGAGTGCACACAGCAGTGGGAGCGGCCCTCCCCTGCATGCCCCCCTCCCCCACCCCAAATGAGCCACTTGTGGCTCCAACTCATGCTGCACCCTGTCCAGGCTGGGCAGCACCTGTTGGTGTCCCTTCACTTTGGTGCCTGGGGTAGTCACCCCGTTGGCCCCCACTTTGCTATGGTACTGAACACAAGAATCTTTATAATGCTTTGGGGGGCTTATAATGCTGGGGAAGACCTGCCAGTGTGAGATGCAGTTTTAAGAAAGTTATACCTCCCCACCCATATTTCTTTTGCCTTGGCCAAGAGTTTGGGAATTGGAGGACATTGCTTGAAACCTCAAAAGAACCTTAAGGAGTTGGACAGCTAGCCTTGAGTGAGAGATTTCACTTAACTTCTTCATCCTGAAAATGTTTCCCTAAAAATCTTGATAGTTTTTGGAGCATCTCTTTGAAGTCCTTTTCACTTCTGTGATGAACAAGCATATTCCTAGCAAAAGAATTGGCATTAAAAAAAACTAACTTTTGTCCATTTTCATGTAAATATTTCCCACTACAAATAGAGCAAAGCCATTACTCCTCTTTTTGAAGGAGTCCTGTTTTAAGATGCTCTTCACTCTTAACTAAGACCCCTGCTAGACATTACATATATTACGCAGTTAACTGGTAATTGTGCAATAGACCAGCCACATGAGCAAAGTAGTTATCACACCCTAAAAATGTCCATCTAGTTATAAAAAGAGCCATCCAGGTACAAAGTTAGTGCTTGGAAATGGGTAACAACTCTATAGCTGGTTTCTGTCCAGCTTTAATTTTGAATGTATGGCAGGGCCCTGATCTGCCAACATGCATATCATGTAAGTAATGCTTCTATGTTGAAGAGTGTGTTTACAGATCAGCCAACCATGTCTAGTCTGATGTCTCAGACTAGACATCAGGAGGCGCTACTTTACTGTCAGGGCAGCTAGGATCTGGGACCAACTTCCAAGAGAAGTGGTGCTGGCTCCTACCCTGGGGGTCTTGAAGAGGAGCCTAGACAATCACCTTGCTGGGGTTGTTTGACCCCAGTACTTTTTCCTGCCATGGCAGGGGGTGGGACTTGATGATCTGCTCTGGTCCCTTCCGGCCCTACCAACTATGAAACGATGAAAACCTACACCCAGAATAGCTACCTTCGCTACCTCTCTCAACTTCCACTGTCACCTCTTCCCAATAGACACGTACATTCTCCAGGTCTCTCTGACACAGGGGGGTGGCAGCATTTTTGGGCAGAGTGCCAAAAACACCCAAAAATCTCAACTTGTAAGATGTTGGTGTGCCAAGGGTGGGTGGCATGGGAACTGAGAGTGGCTCAATCCTTGTTTGGCGGGACAGCCCCAGCCACTTCCCATCATCTGCCCTGAGGCGTACATACCAAACAAAATGTCACGCTGGCATGTGTGCCAGGAATTGTATCCCCCTGCTTTAACCTGTCTGGCAAAATGCTTGTTGGGCTCAGACTACCTATTTTCTGCAGACTTTTTATAGCTGGTATGAGACTTTTTACATTTTTATGTTCTAGGTATGTTCTGTGTGGATTGCAAAAGAAAAAGCATTAAACACAGAACCATTGTGGAATCTTAGAAGACACAGGGTGTAGATTCACATAATAATTGAACCGTTCCAAAATGTTACAAAAGGAAAACTGGTTCACATTGTTGTGGGTGGGATGCAGGGTGCAGATACATGTCACAGTTGAATGGTTCTCAAATGTGACTGGAAACCAGTTCACAACTGTGGGAAGTGCTGTGCCTCTGACAGCGAGCAAATAGCCCAGCATGCCTTGAAGTGGACTGAGGGGGCAGGGCAGGTGGAGTGCTTACACCTGTGCTTTTGGGAATCCTCAAGAAGGGGGGAGTGTTTGCACCAAGGCTTTGTGGGAACCCTGGGGGGTGCGTGACTGGGGGGGCATCTTCAGTTTTCTGCTTTCCCCTCTCCTAAACAAGAGTTCAGTAAATTTCCAATAGCCTGTAATATAGATTAGAGTTTGCAGTGTGCTTGCCTGACTTGGGAAAGGGGTGAGGTAGAACTCAGATCCACACTTCCTGGTTTCCAGGGTCTCGGGCTAAGGAGGGGTTTTAATGTACCTGAAAAACATTATTTTAAGCAGAAGTTATAGATTTGCTTGCTGAGATATTATTGATCTGTGGTTTAAGAGATTAGAGTGAATGGGCCCAAATCTCTCAGTATCTGTGAGGCTGGCTACTTATATTCTTCTTAAGTGTGTGTTTGATTAAACAAAATTATTAGGGGCATCTCAAACTTCATAGCTGGGTTTTAAAAACCTTCTACCCCCTTTCACTCACTCACCTCCCCCAAAAGATGGGGTCTGTCTTAGTTCTGGGTTTTGTTCGGGTTGAACTGACAGAAATTCA